AGCGATCTGGACAGAGGGACAAACGTGCAAAAGCCCTGTGGGGGTAGATGCTGAGAAATAAGACACAGCGGCAGGTGGAGGCCTGATGGGACCTGTCATATGGAGAGGGACTCAATCCCTTGGCAGTGGCCATGCCTGGTGCAGGGCCCAGAAGGAAGTCAGAGCTGGCATCTGAGGCCAGGCAGCTGGTATGCACATCTCATTTAAGCCTCACAGCTATTATTATTACCCAGTTGGAAGGACGGGGAAACCGAGGCTCTGAGAGACGACCTGATTTGCCCTCCTCACAGCCTCAGTGTGAGGAGGGAGGCCCCCCAGCCCCTCTCCTCACACCAGCCCTGTGACCACGGTGACCACGTGCCAATGTGTGCCTTGCGCCCTTCACTGTCTTCTCAACATCTTCCTGCAGTTTCCAGACTTTCTTTTTTTTTTTTTTTTTTTTTTTTTTTGAGACGGAGTCTTGCTCTGTCGCCCAGGCTGGAGTGCAGTGGCCGGATCTCAGCTCACTGCAAGCTCTGCCTCCCGGGTTTATACCATTCTCCTGCCTCAGCCTCCTAAGTAGCTGGGACTACAGGCGCCCGCCACCTCGCCCGGCTAGTTTTTTGTATTTTTTAGTAGAGACGGGGTTTCACCGTGTTAGCCAGGATGGTCTCGATCTCCTGACCTCATGATCCACCCATCTTGGCCTCCCAAAGCGCTGGGATTACAGGCTTGAGCCACTGCGCCCGGCCGCAGTTTCCAGACTTTCTAAATGCGAATGTAGTATTTCTAGAACCAGAAACAAGCAATGCATGTTGCTTTTAAAATCTGAAACCAAAGATCCGACTTTCGCTTCAACTCCCAAGAAGCTCTCTGCTTCCAATCCCCAATTCTCCGGCACCTCCTGATCACAGCCCTGGTGCCCCCCACCGAGTCCTTGTCTGTCCACAAAGCTGCCTTCTCCCCTAACCTGGGAGCTCCTCAAAGGGAGGACGGGGTCTGTCCCCATCCCTGGGGCTCCTGGGGAACAGGCTTCATTTCCGGGGGTGCTTCCCAGGAGCCTGCCACAGGGCAAGGTGAGGCTCAGAAGATACCAGTGCCCACCTCCCTCTCCTGAGCAAGCCCTGTGCCCACGGCCCCTGCAGCCACAGGCCCCTTGGTGGGCTCGCCCCCTGATCCACGTGCCATGAGCACACATCCCCTTCCCTCCATGCCCCTGGTTCCCACCAGTGCCCTTTACCTTGAGCTCCCTCTGCCTGACCCTCACCCATGTGCCCCCACATACCCCAGCGTGGGCTCTGCTCCCGGGTTCTTCACTGCACCTCCACCCCCTTTCTTGGACATGCTGCCTTCAGATGCGCAGGCTCTGCTCCTACCCCCAGGCCTCAGCCCTGCTGTGCTGACTGCGATCCTCCCGGGAGCCCGGCAGCTCCCAAACCAACTCCCGTGCCCACGCCTGGCAATGGGGTAATCACTGGGGTGATGCTCAGGGTTACCCAATAGGCGTGGGGCAGGGCTGCACGTCCTAATTACGAACTGCCTTTTTCTCACTGCCAGGATCTACAGCTGCTCTGTGTCTGCCCTGTTCTTCCAGGGCCGTGCCCCCAGGGACCACACTGCACAGCCAGCTTGGGAACAGGTTAGACAAGTCAAGGCTGTCTGAAGCTTTGCTGTGTGGTTACTGGAATGGGCTAGCAGGGAGTTACCTGATCAGGAAAAAAGATTCCCAGGGGAAGGTCACAGGATGAAAATGTCAGCAAGACCCCGGTGGCAAATGTTGCCTCCACCAGGAAGTCCTCCTAGGACCCAGCCACAGTGGTCCCATGCCACCCATGGCCCCACCTAGGGTCTCCATGCTAAATCTTCATCTCCCTCCTCTCCTCTCCTCTCCTCACTCTTCAGGGTTCACAGGTCAAAATGAGCAACTGTGGCTCTATTTCCACTCCCAATGTGCCCAGCTGGCATAGTCAGGGCAGAGGAAGGGGCCGAGACCTTTGCAGAGAGAACCCTGATGGGTGACGGCACCTGTAGCTCTTGGATAGTGCATTGTTCATTAGTTTATTTACTGTACAACCGTGGGTAAGTTGCTTAAAGTCTCTGAGCCTTTCAGAAGTTAACAATAACACCTAATAGCCATGGTTCTTGAGAGGATCACAGAGGGAGATGTGAGAATGGAAAAGACAGATCACAGCTCCTAGCACAAAATCAGTGCCCCTCAACGTTGCCTGCTAATGTTTCCACAAGTATTTGCTGAGCACCTTCTAGGTTCCCGGGGGGGCAGAATGAGCTCAGGTCCCACTATTGTCCTTCGTGGATGGCGTGACCCTGTCCCCACCCCACCTTCCCCCAAGCCTGAGGCCAAGGACACGCCCTGTTGAGGGCTGTAGAGTCTCTTGGCAGAGTGTGCAGCCCTGTGGGCAGGAGGGACGTCTGAGATAACCCTTGGTTGTGACTGGAGCCAGCCCAGTGGGGGCCACAGCCTGTGACCAAGCCCTGGTCCCGGAATCCTCCGTAGCTAAAGATGTAAATGCCAATGTGACACCAGGAACCGAACTCGGGATGTTGAAGGGGACACAGGGCAGAATCCTAGGGCCCATCTAAGAGCAGCAGATGGGTTATGGCCACTGGGGAGGTCCACTGCCTCCAAACCACTGAATTGTACACTGTAAATGGGTGAGTTGTATGGGATATGAATTCTCTCTCAGAAGCTGTTTTGTTTTGTTTTGTTAAACTGAACTGACAAGAAGCCTGAATAGGCTACAAATAAACTAAAAGACGGTCAACCTCAGTAGCAATTGTTAAAATGTAAAATAGGCCCGGTGCAGTGGCTCACACCTGTAATCCCAGCACTTTTGGGAGGCTGAGGCTGGTAGATCACTTGAGGTTAGGAGTTCCAGATCAGCCTGGCCAACATGATGAAACCCTGTCTCTACTAAAAATACAAAAAGTTAGCCAGGTGTAGTGGCATGTTCCTGTAATTCCAGCTACTCGGGAGGCTGAGGTGGGAGAATTGCTGGAACCTGGGAGGCAGAGGTTGCAGTGAGCCGAGATCACACCATTTGCACTCCAGCCTGGGCAACAAGAGAAAATTGAAATCATATCAAGCATGCTCTCAGACCACAGTGGAATAAAACTGGAAATCAACTCAAAAAAGAACCTTCGAAACCATACAAATACCTGGAATTTAAATAACCTGCTCCTGAATGAGCATTGGGTCAAAAAAAAAAATCAAGATGGAAATTTAAAAAATTCTTCAAACTGAATGACAATAGTGACACAATCTATCAAAACCTCTGGGATATAGCTAAGGCCGTGCTAAAAGGAAAGTTCATAGCCCTAAATGCCTACATCAAAAAGTCTGAAAGAGCACAGACAATCTAAGGACACATCTCAAGGGACAGAGAAACAAGAACAAACCAAACCCAAAGCCAGCAGAAGAAAGGAAATAACCAAGATCAGAGCAGAACTAAATGAAATTGAAACAGAAAAAAATACAAAAGCTAAATGAAACAAAAAGCTTGTTCTTTGAAAAGATAAATAAAATTGATAGACCATTAACAAGATTAACCAAGAAAAGAAGAGAGAAAATCCAAATAACCTCACTGAGAAATAAAACAGGAGATATTACTGTCAGATCTCTGAGCCCAAGCCTGCACGTATACATCCAGATGGCCTGAAGCAAGTGAAGAATCACAAAAGAAGTGAAAATGGCCGGTTCCTGCCTTAACTGATGACATTGCCTTGTGAAATTCCTTCTCCTGGCTCAGAAGTTCCCCCACTGAGCACCTTCTGACCCCCACCCCTGCCTGCTAAAGAACAACCCCCATTGACTGTAATTTTCCATTCCTACCCAAATCCTATAAAACGACCCCACCCCATCTCCCTTCACTGACTCTCTTTTCCAACTCAGCCCGCCTGCACCCAGGTGACTAAAAAGCTTTATTGCTCACACAAAGCCTGTTTGGTGGTCTCTTCACATGGACGTGCGTGAAATGTGGTGCCGTGACTTGGATCAGGGGACGTCCCTTGGGATATCAATCCCCTGTCCTCATGCTCTTTGCTTCGTGAGAAAGATCCACCCACTACCTCTGGTCCTCAGACCAACCAGCCTAAGGAACATCTCACCAATTTTAAATCGGGTAAGCGGCCTCAGTTTACTCTCTTCTCCAACCTCTCTCACTATCCCTCGACCTCTTTCTCCTTTCAATCTTGGCACCATCCTTCAATCTCTCCCTTCTCTTAATTTCAATTCCTTTCCTTTTCTGGTAGAGACAGAGGAGACACGTTTTATCCGTGAACCCAAGACTCTGGCACCTGTCACAGACAAGGGAAGACAGTCTTCTCTTGGTGTTTAATCACTGTGGGGACGCCTGCTTGATTATTCACCCACGTTTCAGAGGTGTCTGATCACCATGGGGATGCCTGCCTTGATCCTTCACCCTTCATGGCAAGCACCACTTTTGGGGGGCAAGCACCCCCTACTCTTTCTCTTTGTGTCTCCACCCTCTCTTTTCTCTGGACTTGCCTCCTTCACTATGGGCAAACTTCCACGCTCCATTCCTCCTTCTTCTCCCTTAGCCTGTGTTCTCAAGAACTTAAAACCTCTTCAACTCACACCTGACCTAAAACCTAAATGCCTAATTTTCTTCTACAACGCCACTTGACCCCAATACAAACTCGACAGTTGTTTCAAATAGCCAGAAAACGGCACTTTCGATTTTTCCATCCTACAAGATCTAGATAATTCTTGTCGTAAAATGGGCAAATGGTCTGAGATGCCTGACCTCCAGGCATTCTTTTACATATCGGTCCCTCCCTAGTTTCTGTTCCCAATGCAACTCGTACCAAATCTTCCTTCTTTCCCTCCCACCTGTCCCCTCAGTCCCAATCCCAAGCATCACTGAGTCTTTCCAATCTTCCTTTTCTACGGACCCATCTGACCTCTCCCCTTCTCCCCAGGCTGCTCCTCGCCAGGCCGAGCCAGGCCCCAATTCTTCCTCAGCCTCTGCTCCTCCACTCTATAATCCTTTTATCACCTCCCCTCCTCACACCTGGTCCGGCTTACAGTTTCTAGCCCTCCCCTCACCTGCCCAACAATTTTCTTTTAAACAGGTGGCTGGAGCTAAAGGCATAGTCAAGGTTAATGCTCCTTTTTCTTTATCTGACCTCTCCCAAATCAGCTAGCATTTAGGCTCTTTTTCATCAAATATAAAACCCCGGCCCAGTTCATGGCTCATTTGGCAGCAACCCTGAAACGCTTTACAGCCCTAGACCCTAAAAGGTCAAAAGGCCATCTTATTCTCAATGTACATTTTATTACCCAATCTGCTCCCGACGTTAAATAAAATCCCCAAAATTAAATTCCAACCCTCCAACCCCACAACAGGACTTAATGAACCCGCCTTCAAGGTGTACAATAATAGAGTACAGCCAGCCAAGTAGCAACATATTTCTGAGTTGCAACTCTTTGCCTCCACTGTGAGAGAAACCCCAGCCACATCTCCAGCACGCAAGAACTTCAAAATGCCTAAGCTGCAGCAGTCAAGCATTCCTACAGGACCTTCTCTATCAGGATCTTGCTTCAAGTGCTAGAAATCTGGCCACTGGGCCGAGGAATGCCCTCAGCCCAGGATTCCTCCTAAACCTTGTCCCATCTGTGCAGGACCCCACTGGAAATCAGACTGTCCAACTCACCCAGCAGCCACACCCAGAGCCCCTGGAACTCTGGCCCAAGGCTCTCTGACAACTTCCCACATCTTCTCGACTTAGGGGCTGAAGACTGACGCTGTCCGATCACCTCGAAGCTTCCTGGACCATCACAGATGCTTTGGATAACTCTTGCAGTGCAGGGTAAGTCCATCCCCTTCTTAATCAATATGGATGCTACCCACTCCACATTACCTTCTTTTCAGGGCCTGTTTCTCTTACCTCCATAACTGTTGTGGGTATTGACGGCCAGGCTTCTAATCCTCTTAAAACTCCCAAACTCTGGTGCCAACTTGGACAATTTTCTTTTATGCACTCTTTTTTAGTTATCCCCACCTACCTAGTTCCCTTATTAGGCTGAGATATTTTAACAAAATTATCTGCTTCCCCGACTATTTCTGGACTACAGCCACACCTCATTGCTGCCCTTTTCCCCAGTTCTAAGCCTCCTCCCCTTGTATCTCCCCACCTTAATCCACAAGTATAGGACACCTCTACTCCCTCCTTGGTGACTGATCATTCACCCCTTACCATCCCATCCCATTAAAACCTAATCACCCTTACACCACTCAACACCAATATCCCATCCCACAGCATGCTTTAAAAGGATTAAAGCACCAGGTGTGGTGGCTCAAGCCTGTAATCCCTGCACTTTGGGAGGCCGAGGTGGGCAGATCATGAGGTCAGGAGATTGAGACCATCCTGGCTAACACGGTGAAACCCCATCTCTACTAAACATACAAAAAATTAACCGGGTGCAGTGGCAGGCGCCTGTAGTCCCAGCTACTCAGGAGGCTGAGGCAGGAGAATGGCGTGAACCCAGGAGGCGGAGCTTGCAGTGAGCTGAGATCACGCCACTGCACTCCAGCCTGGGCGACAGAATGAGACTCTGCCTCAAAAAACAAAAACAAAAACAGATTAAAGCCTGTTATCACTTGCCTGTTACCACATGAGCTTTTAACTCTCCTTGAGCCTATAAACTTTCCTTACAATTCCCCCATTTTACCTGTTCAAACACCGGACAGGTCTTACAGCTTAGTTCAGGATCTGTGCCTTATTAACCAAATGGTTTTGCCTATGCACCCCATGGTGCCAAACCCATATACTCTCCTATCCTCAATACCTCCCTCCGCAACCCTTCCACAACCCATTATTCTGTTTTGGATCTCAAACATGCTTTCTTTACTATTCCTTTACACCCTTCATTCCAGCCTCTCTTCGCTTTCACTTGGACTGACCCTGACACTCCTCAGGCTCAGCAAATTACCTGGGCTGTACTGCTGCAAGGTTCGCGGACAGCCCCCATTACTTCAGTCAAGCCCAAATTTCTTCCTCATCCATTACCTATCTTGGCATAATTCTTCATAAAAACACATATGCTCTCCCTGCCTATTGTGTCTGACTGATCTCTCAAAGCCCAACCCCTTCTACAAAACAACAACTCCTTTCCTTCCTGGGCATGGTTGGATACTTTCGCCTTTGGATACCTGGTTTTGCCATCCTAACAAAACCATTATATAAACTCACAAAAGGAAACCTAGCTGACCCCATAGATCCTAAATCCTTTCCCCACTCCTCTTTCCGTTCAATGGAGACAGCTTTCAAGACTGCTCCCACCGTAGCTCTCCCTGACTCATCCCAACCCTTTTTTCATTACACACAGCCAAAGTGCAGGGCTGTGTGGTTGAAATTCTTACACAAGGACGGGGACCGTGCCCTGTGGCCTTTTCATCCAAACAACTTGACCTTACCGTTTTAGCCTAGCCACCATGTTTGAATATGGTGGCTGCCACTGCCTTAATACTTTAAGAGGCCCTCAATGTGGGGAAAAGAAAGAGAGATCTGGCCAGTCGCGGTGGCTCACGCCTGTATCCCAGCACTTTGGGAGGCTGAGACAGGAGGATCACGAGGTCAGGAGATCGAAACCATCCTGACTAACACGGTGAAACCCCATCTCTACTAAAAATACAAAAATTAGCCAGGCACAGTGGCGGGCTCCCGTAGTCCCAACTACTCGGGAGGCTGAGGCAGCAGAATGGCGTAAACCCGGGAGACGGAGCTTTCAGTGAGTGGAGATCGTGCCACTGCACTCCAGCCTGGGCGACAGAGCGAGGCTCTGTCTCAAAAAAAAAAAAAAAAAAAAAGAGAGATCAGACTGTTACTGTGTCTATGTAGAAAGAAGTAGACATAAGAGACTCCATTTTGTTCTGTACTAAGAGAAATTCTTCTGCAGTGAGATGCTGTTAATGTGTAACCCTGGCTCCAACCCTGTGCCGACAGAGACATGTGCTGTGTTGACTCAAAGTTTAATGGATTTAGGGCTATGCCTGATGTGCTTTGTTAAAAAAGTGCTTGAAGGCTGTATGCTTGTTAAAAGTCATTGCTATTCTCTAATCTCAAGTACCCAGGGACACAATACACTAGGGAAGGCTGCAGGGACCTCGGAAGGCTGCAGGGACCTCCGCCTAGGAAAGCCAGGTATTGTCCAAGGTTTCTCCCCATGTGGTAGCCTGAGATATGGCCTCTTGGGAAGGGAAAGACCTGACTGTCCCCTAGCCTGACACCCGTAAAGGGTCTGTGCTGAGGAGGATGAGTGAAAGAGGAAGTCCTCTTTGCAGCTGAGATAAGAGGAAGGCATCTGTCTCCTACTCATCCCCGGGCAAGTCTCGGTGTAAAACCCAAGTGTATGTTCTATTTACTGACATAGGAGAAAACCACCTTAGGGCTGGAGGTGAGACATGCTAGAGGCAATACTGCTCTTTAATGTACTGAGATATTTGTAGAGGTGCACATCAAGGCACAGCACCTTTCCTTAAACTTATTTGTGATACAGAGATCTTTGTTCACATGTTTTCCTGCTGATCCTCTCCGCACTGTGACCCTATTGTCCTGCCACTTCCCCCTCTCCGAGATGGTAGAGAGAATGATCAGCAAATACTGAGGGAACTCAGAGACAGGTCCCTGCACAGGTCCTCCATATGTTGAGCGCCCGTCCCCTGGGCCCACTTTTTTTTCTCTATTCTTTGTCTCTGTGTCTCTTTCTTTTCTCAGTCTCTGGTCCCACCTGATGAGAAATGCCCATACGTGTGGTGGGGCAGGCCACCCCTTCATCTGGTGCCCAACGTGGGTGCTTTTCTCTAGGGCGAAGGTACGCTCGAGCGTGATCATTGAGGATAAGTCAATGAGAGATTCCTGAGTACGTCTACGGTCAGCCTTGCAGTAAGCTTGTGCGCTCAGAAGAACGTAGGGTAACAATGGGACAAACTGAAAGTAAATATGCCTCTATTCTCAGCTCTATTAAAATTCTTTTAAGAAGAGGGGGAGTTAGAGTCTCTACAAAAAATCTAATCATGCTATTTCAAACGATAGAACAATTCTGCCCATGGTTTCCAGAACAGGGAACTTTAGATCTAAAATATTGGGGAAAAAATTGGCAAAGAATTAAAACAAACAAGTAGGGAGGGTAAAATCATCCCACTTTCAGTATGGAATGATTGGGCCATTATTAAAGCAGTTTTAGAATGGTTTCAAACAGGAGAAGATAGCGTTTCAGTTTCTGATGTCCCTGAAAGCTGTGTAATAGATTGTGACGAAGAGGCAGGGATAGAATCCCAGAAAGGAATGGAAAGTTCACATTGTAAATACGTAGCGGAGCCGGTAATGTAGTCAAAGTTAAATGTTGACTACATTACAGTCAACGTTAAATGTTGACTACATGTAGCAGAGCCGGTAATTGTAGTCAACGTTAAATGTTGACTACAATCAATTACAGGAGGTGATATATCTTGAAACATTAGAATTAGAAGAGAAAGGTCCAGAATTAGCAGGGCCATCAGAGTCTAAATCACGATGGCCAACTCCTCTTCCTGCAGTTCAGATGCTTGTAACATTACAACCTCAAATGCAGGTTAGACAAGTACAAACCCCAAGAGAATATCAAATAGAGAAAGTCTCTGTCATGGCAATGCTAATCCAAATACAGTATCCACAATATCAGCCGGTAGAAAATAAGACCCAACCGCCAGTAGCCTATCAATACTGGCCGCCAGCCGAACTTCAGTATCGGCGGCCCCCAGAAAATCAGTCTAGACCGCCAGGAATGTTTCCAGCACCACGGGGCAGGGCGCTATAGCCTCAGCCGCCCACTATGAGACTTAGTCCTACAGCATCACCTAGTGGACAGGGCAGTGCATTACATAAAATTATTGGTAAAGCAAGAAAGCAAGGAGATATTGAGGCGTGGCAATTCCCAGTAATATTAGAGCCAATACCACCTGGAGAAGAGGCTCAAGAGGGAGTGCCTTCCCTAGCTGAGGCCGGATATGAGTCTTTTTGTATAAAAATGCTAAAAGATATGAAAGAGGAAGTAAAACAGTATGGAGCCAACTCCCCTTATATAAGGACATTATTAGATTCCATTGCTCATGGACATAGACTCATTCCTTATCATTGGGAGATTTTGGCCAAATCATCACTCTCACCCTCTCAATTTTTATAATTTAAGACTTGGTGGATTGATGGGGCACAAGAACAGGTCCGAAGAAATAGGGCTGCCAATACTCCAGTTAACATAGTTGCAGATCAGCTATTAGGAACAGGTCAAAATTGGATCACTACTAATCAACAAGCAATAATGCAGAATGAGGCCATTGAGCAAGTTAGAACTATCTGCCTTAGAGCCGGGGAAAAAAGCCAAGATCCAGGAACCACCTGCCCCTCATTCAATACAATAAGACAAGGCTCTAAAGAGCCCTACCCTGATTTTGGAGCAAGGCTCCAAAACGCTGCTCAAAAATCAATTACCAATGAGAATGCCTGTAAGGTCACAGTGGAGTTGATGGCATACAAAAACGCCAATCCTGGGTGGCAATCAGCCATTAAGCCATTAAAAGGACAGGTCCCGGCAGGATCAGATGTAATCTCAGAGAACATAAAAGCCTGTGATGGAATTGGAGGAGCTATGCATAAAGCTATGCTTATGGCTCAAGCAATAATGGGAGTTGCTTCAGGAGGACAAGTTAGAACATTTGAGGGAAAATGTTATAATTATGGTCAAATTGGTCATCTAAAAAAGAATTGCCCAGTCTCAAATAAACAAAATATAACAACTCAAGCTACTACAACAACAGATAAACAGCCACCTG